CGCGGCAGAGCGCAGGCTAGGTCCTCCCTTGTTGAGCTTGAGCTGAGCCTGCTGCCAAGAAGCGTCGCAGGGCGAGCAGCCGCTCAGTTGCTCAAGGCAGGCCCAGACAGCGTCGCCCATGGCCAGCAGGGAGGCGGCGTGCGCGGTGGGCGGCGCCACGCGCGCGGAGTAGCCCAGCTCGCAGAAGGAGGCTCAATGGCGCAGGAGGTGCAGGTCAACCTGCGCGTAAAGTTTCCATCAGGGCGGTAGCGCTCGCGACCCGCTGCTTGGCGTGCTCCGCGCAGACGTCCGCGTCTCCCACTGGCGCGCCGAGCAGATCGAAGCTGCGATCGGTGCGGAGGCGGAACCCCAGTGGGAAACCGTCCAGAGACACGTCGGAATCGTCCCCGCCGGTGGGGACCACCTCACACTTGCCTGGGCCGGTGCTCAGCTGGAGGCCCACCGCGGCAAGGTTGGCCGCGAGCAAGTGGAGGAGGCGCGCGACGGCTGGCGCGTCGCACGCGAGGCAGCCGTCGTCCAGGTAGAAGAAACTCAGGTCGACGGCGCCGTCGGCGCCGTGGCGCGGCGCGCGGACGGCGGCCTCGGCGGCGCGCTGCAGTGCTGGGGAGAACACTAGTAGGGAGCCCATAGAAGACGTACGCGCCCAGCTATGTACATGAACACGGCCCCTCGATTCGCGAGACCGGCCGCGTTATACGAACATTTGTGCAATGCGTGCTCTCGAAACCAGCGTGGATTCATGTACATGTACGTCCTTCTTTCGCTTCTCAACTAGGGGGCCCCAGGGGGTCGCCCTGCTGCACACCGCACTCGGAGCGGACTGTCTGCTTGCCCAGGAAGACAGCTGACGGGCGGGAGTAGCACCAGTCAGCCCAAGGTGCCAGCCCGAGAAACTCTTCGTGGACCGCGCGGAGCAGGAGCCTGCCTGTTCAGGGTGTTCAAGGCGCTAGACAAGTCCAGTTTTACAACACCTTCCCCCGGTCCCCGAGGTGGCGGGTCCACCACTGGCGCGCGACGTGCACCGCCGCCTCGGTGCCGCCAAGGGCCGCGACACCGATCTGCAGAGGAGCCAATCGGTCGCGCACGGCGTCGGCAACCTCGTGGCAGAGGCACTTACCGACGAGGCGCTGGAGCACCTCCCCGAAGGCAACAGGGCGCAGGCCTCCGTCCTTCTTCGGCAGGACCACCAGAGAGGCGCCCGCGAAGTACTCGGACACGGCCGGCGGGGCCTGCCCCCTGGCGCAGAGGTTGACAAGGCTCCAGAGCTAGTCGGTGACCTCGTCCCTGTGGGCCGCGTTGAGCAGTGCGTCTTTGAGGTGTTGGGGTCGAAGGCCCGTTGGCCCGGCAGCCGAGCCCCGGGGGAAGGCCCGCACCTCCCTCCAGACCGCGTCCCCGAGGAGCTTGGCGAGATCCACATCTCGGTGGCTGCGCGGGTGTTTCCAGCGCATGGCCTCCGCGAGGCCCCAAGAGACCCCCAAAAGGCCCCCGTGACGCCCAACAAGAGGCGCAACAAAAAGGTTCCAAGAGGCCCCCAAACGGCCTCTAAGAGGCCACGAACGCGCAAGCAAACGCTGGCGATGGCACAATACGGGCCGGCGGAGTGAACGAAACTAAATCATCTACCACCGACCCCCGCACCAGATTGCCAAGCCAGAGCTGTAGGGGGGAGGAGGGGTGCAAAATTAGTCCACCTGCGGTTACGTGCCCATGTTTCGACGAGGGAGGAGCTATCGCTCACTCGGGCCCCTATTCGGGTCGCGCGCGTGATGGCTGCCCATGGGCGAGCAAGCGTCGTTACGATAACCACCTATTTATCCCTCTTCTCCGGGCGGGGGGCGGCAGCAAGGGCACGGTCTCTGCAGAAAACACAATGCTCGAAACACTCGTCTCCAAGCGCGGGGTCTTGTCCGGTTGTGTGTAATATGCCCGGCGACCGGGTCCCTGGGCCCATGTGGTGGCCCACTCTACCGAACTCCCCCCCTCAGCAAATCACTTTATCCCGGGCGTCCGTCGCGGCAACGTATGGGCAATCAATGCGTAGATTCGTGCACATGTGGAGTTGTGTCGTTGTCGAGAGCGGGTGCTTGCTAGAACCTCAGCGCGCGACACGCGCGCGTGGTTCTAGAAAGAAAAAGTATAACGCCGTGGTGTCGCGGAAGCCTGCGACTTCGGGGCGGGTGGCTTGGCGGCCGGGGGGGATTGCCATAAGGCGCGCCAGGAACGCGGGCTCCTTGCGGCGCCGAATCGCATCTCCCGATAGAAATGATAACCACAAAAGGGCTTGTGTCCTGTCTGGAGTTTGTGAACGTAGGGCATATGCTCTTTCGGATCTGAAAATCTGGAGCGATATGTGTTCAAGCCGGCCTCTGCGGAGGGCTCCAGTCTTGGTTCCCTTTTGCTCTCATAAAAACATGGGCGTCTTCGGCGAGCTTCTGTCTCGGCCGTCACTTCTCCACTCCCACCGCTACCCGCGCCTCCTGGGTTATGACTGGTCTTAATGTGGAGCCAGAGGACGAGGGATGAGGCATGTTCCTCAACTTGCAGGAGAGGCAGCGGGCGCTGAGGTCGGGCAAACAAAAGAACGGCAACATGTAAGGTTCTCTGCGAGGGCATGGCCGTCGAGCAGATAATACGTTTAAGTGCAACAAAATCCTTAGAATGTTCAAAGGCTTCGGAATATCAAGACATCCAGAACGTCAACACGAATGAGTTGCTCCCGAACTCGAGGCCGCGATCGTCCAAATTAGAGACTTTAACTGGCAATTCGAAGATTCCAGAGCCGACCTGAGGATCAATCCTAGCCTGGTACACCTGATGCACTGCAGTGGTTCACGTCACCTTCTGCATACACACTTCACTCAAGCATCGGAGAACAAGCTGGGACGAGACTAGCGCCCCCTGAAGGTTTCCGGCTTGGGTCACCTCCTGTCGCGGATCTCTATGGCTCCCAGAGCCCTCATCACATCATGCTTTCTGTGGACCATGGCATCAACCAGACCACAAAGCTAGGTGCCAAGACCCATGGCCGCCGACTCTTTACCATTATTTCCAAGCTTGGGGTTCAATCAGCGAATGCCCTTGGGCGATTCGTGGCTCCAAAGGGAGTTCCACCTAAGGCCCCAATGGCGGTGTCCACATGCGTATCCCCCACCCAGCACAGCGCTTCGTGGCTCCACAGGGACCTCCACATAAGGTCCCAGCGGCGGTGTCCACATGCGTCTCCCACACCCAGCACAGCGCTTCGTGGCCAAATAGGGAGCCTAAGATCCCAGTGGCGGTGTCCACATGCGTCTCCCCCACCAGGTACGGCGCTTCGTGGCCCCATAGGGTGCTCCACCGAAGGTCCTAGTGGCGGTGTCCGCATGCGGCTCCCCCATGCAGCACAGCGCCTCGTGGCTCCATGGGGAGCTCCACCTAAGGTCCCAGTGGCGGTGTCCACATGCGTCTCCCCCATCCAGCACAACGTTTCGTGGCCACATATGGACTCCACTCAAGGTCCCAGCGGCGGGCCTCACATGCGTCTCCCCCACCCAGCACAACGCTTCGTGGCCCCAGGCCCCAGTGGCGGTGTCCACATGCGTTTCCCCCACCCAGCACAACGCTTCGTGGCCCCATAGGGAGCGCCACCCGACGCCCCAGCGGCGGTGTCCACATGCGTCTCCCCCACCCAGCACAGCGCTTCGTGGCTCCATAGGGAGCTCCACAGAAGGTCCAAGTGGCGGTGTCCACATGCGTCTACACCACCCAGAACAGCGCTTCGTGGCCACATGGGGAGCTCCACCTAAGGCATCAGTGGGGGGGTCCACATGCGTCTCCCCCACCCAGCACAACGCTTCGTGGCTCCATGGGGAGCTCCACCTAAAGCACCAGTTGCGGTATCCACCTGGATCTCCGCCACCCAGTACAGCGCTTCGTGGCCCCATAGGGAGCTCCACCTGAGGCCCCAGTGGCTGTGTACACATGCGTTTCCCCCACCCGGCACAGCGCTGCGTGGCCACATAGGGAGCTCCACCTAAGCTCCCAGTGGCGATGTCCACATGGGCCTCCCCCACCCAGTACAGCGCTTCGTGGCCCGTAGGGAGTTCCACCGAAGACGATACCCACAACTGCGGTACTCACAATTGCATATGGTTAAGTCCTTGGCGAGGCTAATTGAAACATTTCGGCATGCGCGCGCGTGCGCACTTCTTTCTTTCGCAAGGGATTGGGGTCAATTGTTGATTGCTTATAAACGGAAGCCCGCGCATCATCCTTTTTGCAAGGGATGCTGGGAGGGGTCGATACCAACCCTCCTGGGATGGTACGGAGTCACATTTAGGATGGGCAATGGGGCAGAATCATACGAAAATCGCGATACGAAAAGGTGTACCCTTCACCCCTGGGGGGAGGATATCCTAAGCATCTTTTGAACATATACGAGGTGCCCATCTGCGTGGTGCATAATGTGCTGTGCAGGCTACGTGGTGCACTCTATGGAATAAAAGCTAAGTGGCGCAGTCTATGTTAAGCGATCTACGTGGTGCAATCTAGGTTAGCAGTCGAGGGGCGGCGCCGGGGCCACCACAAGACGGCGGAACCTGCCAACAGGCCCAGACGACGGGCTGCGACGGGCGGCGACAGGGCCACCAAAAGACGGCGGAACTGACAACCAAGGCCAGGGGAAGGGCGGCAACGGGCGGCGACGGGGCCTCCGACAGGCGGCGGAACCGAATATCCGGGCCCAAACGAGGGGTGGCGACGGGCGGCGACGGGGCCACAGAAGGCGGCGGCACGGACAAGCAGGCCCAGTTTCTTGGGAGACAAGAACGAGCACCTAAAAGCAAACACTGTTCAGGGGAACTTTCGGAGGTCCCCGCTGCTTTCTTGGATCGGCGCTGGAAGCGCCGGCAGGGATCTCCAAAGAAGATATGAAAAATCCGCGAGGACCTCCCGCAGCTGCTGCCTATGTCCCATGTCCACTGCCCCCCGACACATGGCAAAGGGACGCCCCCCAGGAGCGCCTCCCACTGGCCAGCGCCGGGGACGAGGGCGGAGACTGGGCCACGGCGCTCCACGACCCGGGCGCAGAGGCTGCGAGCCTCGGGTCCGCCCACGGCGCCAGCGCGCGCGGAGGCACGCCGCAGCCGCCGGTCGACGGCGGCCTGCGGGGGCCCGCCGCCGCCGCGCTGGCGTGGGGCGCGGCGCGCAGCGGGGCGGGCAGGGCGCCGCCGGAGCCGGCCGACGGCCTCGAGGGGCGGCTGAGCCAGGACCTCACCCAGGCCAGGTCCCACCTGGTGGAGGAGCAAAGCACACGGGATAAACACACGGCGGGTGCGTGTCGTGACTACCTGCGCGCTGGTGCCTGACACCGCGGGAATCGTTCAACCATGGACAATCAGCGGCTTTCCGATGGCTGGATCGTTCCATATTGGCCGATTCAGGGCCACTGGAGGCGCTAGGTCTTGAACGCTCGTGGAGGGGTCGCGATGAGTCGACACGACGCGAACCTGCCGTACACTTTCGGAAGCCCGCGCTGATGTCTTGGTTCGGCGCTGGAATCCCTCCGGCGCCGCATCTGGCGCGCTCCCCGCATCAGGCGCGCTCCGCGCGCCAATGCAGGGGGTCCAGCGCCGATCTCAGAAATTCGCGCGGACATCCGAAAGTGCATGTAAGACCGCGACAGGTCTTAGGACGACCGTATTGACGGAACGGGGTCCCATTAATGGTGGAAAAAAACATTTCTCCACAGCACTCGCCGCACAACAACGACGACAAAGATGACTATGACTACGATTACGACTACGAATCGCTAGCGACCAATACTACTATTACGACTACGACTACGACTACGGCGCCGACTAGGCGCCGACAGAGCGCCAGGAACAGTCTGCTAACAACAATGAGATTAACAGTTTGCGGTGACCCACTACTTTAAACGATGTGCAATGATGATCAAAACTCCTCCCGCGCATGGGGTTGCCCACGGTGGATTGGTTCGCTGGGATAAAGACCCACCTAGCAATATCCAGCCCACCGAACATTAATGGGAAAGTATTCCTCTGTCGCACCAGGCGCCGACCAGGCGCCAGCAACAGCCCTCCCAGCAGCCAGAGGCAGGCGAGCGTGATAAACTTGTCGAATCAAAACAATGAACATTCCTAATGCAATCCTCCTTCGAAGATGCTCACAAATCCTCTCGCGTGTGGGGTAACCCACAATGGATTATTCCCTGGGACGAAGAACCTCCAAACATTATCCAACACAGCCAACGATAGAGGGGCAAATAATCTCCGCCACGACGACGACGACGGCGTCTTCGTAGTTGGCCTGTGGAGGACGAGAAGGAGGAGGAGGCGGAGGAAAAGGACCAGGAGGAGCAGGAGGACCAGGAGGGGGGGAGGAGGAGGAGAAAGAGGAGGAGAAGGAGGAGGAGCAGGAGAAGAAGGGGCGAGTTCATGTCCTGCCGAAATAAACAAGGGGGGGCAACAACTAACGACCTCCTGCGGTTATGCTGACCAAAAATATCAGAGGCCCCATCCCCCCGTTGATGAAATACTTGATTTGGGAAACTAAGTCTAGGTCCACACTCTCGCGTGGAGCACGCCTGCAATGGCGCCACGCAATCCGCGCATTCATTCCTGGCTGCGCGCGCCAGTTTTCGACCATCTCCGCGCCGTTCACTCACCGATGACGTCTGTGCCCCCCTCCCTGGTTAAACACGCTGCCCTTATGACCGTGTCCACTGCCGCGGTGAAGAGGTCCCCCAACCCAACGGCGGGGCGGATTGCACTTGAAGACGGGCTTTCCCAACACAAAATCGACGATGTTAGGTTAAAGACAGGTTGTCAAGCAAGTAACAACATGTCTCGATAAAGTGTCACGAGCCCACGTTCTTCACAAAACATGCGTATGTTCACATTTCGCCCTCAGTAAACAAATACCTAATACAAGAAGCATACGCTGGAACAGGTTTGTTGTTTTCTCGCTGGGCCCAATTGTCTGGCAAAGGAACCTGCGTCGACCGCCTCCCTTGTTCGATCTACAATGAGACCCTCTTCACAGCATAAGCAGAAACTTGCGAAAGAAACTCAAGGGACCGGCAGTAGAACGCACAGGGTAAACTACCTCAGGATCAAGAGACGGCAAGAACATGAATGGGACATCCTAGTTCTAAGTTCTCGAAGGGCGGGGGCTGGGCCTCGGATTGGACGGGCATTTCTTTTGGATGGAGATGATGGAAGTGGACCACGGACCACACGATGGAACCTCCAGCTATCTTCAGCTGTCTCTGCCTGCCTCACTCATAGGAACATGGGTTACTTGCTTTGGTCGGCGGCCATTTGGATCCAAGCAGCGGTGGACGACGGAACATAGGCTATACATGTTTCCGTCGGCGGCGAGGCTGAGGTTACAGCACCAGCGAGCGGGCTGAACGGGGGGAACATAGGCTACACACGTGGGGGCAGATATTGAGTGGATATCCTTGGGGATTAATATTCAGAGAGTGGCACCTGCGCTATACAAGCCGTGGGGGCAGACATTGAGTGAACATCACTGGGGGTGAACATTCAGTGAACGGCCCCTGCACTATACAAGCCGTGTGGGCAGACTTTTAGTGAACATCCCTAGGGGTTACCATTCAGTGAACGGCCCCTGCGCTTTACAAGCCACAACGTCACAGAGGAATGAGGGGACAGGGGGGAGAAGACACGATGCACTCAGAATGAAGTTCAATCGCGACCCTGGAGGCACACAATAGCCCCAGATTTGTTGTTACTCAAGCCCTTGGACGTCCGCAGCGACGCCGACAGCGAACCCTGTCACAAATTGGCAGGCACTGCTGTTCGTCTTGGTACCCATTCTTTCTGACGACATTACCTCTTCCGATCGTACCGAGAACCTGGGCGTTACGGTCACCGTGGCGGTCGCCGGGCCCGGCACCCGCGCGCCCCGCCACGCGGGCTGCGGCGGGGCCCCGTAGGGCGAGGCGGGCGCAGGCGGAAGGCCGCCCCCTGGGGAAACCAAACGGTGCCGATACCGCTACTCCCCGCACCTCCCCTCAATTTCGAGGCGAATCCAGAGGTGCCCCAAGAAGAAGGAAACAACGCAGGGTAGCGGTGTCGGTACCTTTTCCTCCTCTGACCCCTGGGGAGGAGGTCGCGCAGCGCGGGCAGGCCCAGCGGCTGCAGCCCACGGAACTGCTTCTCCTCGGCCTCCCAGCTGCTCGTCGGGTTGCTCCGCGCCCGCGGGCTGGCGGCCTGGCGAGGCGTGCCGCCCGCTCCGCCAGATCACGCAGGAGAAGCTAGGACGTCGTCGACCCAGGAGCTCCTAGACAAGCGCGCCCCACCACTCCCAAAGTAGCTACTCGCAAATGGCCTGGATCCTCCAAGGGGAGGCTACGATCCAAGTGTCGAGGCAAGCACGTGTTTTTTTTGTTGTGTGTGTGTGTTGAAATGTTGTTTCCAACCATCCTGTGGTGTTGGGTCATCGTTTTGAAGAGACGGTGCCCCGCGTTCCTCTCCTCTCCTCCTCCCTCCTCTTCCCTCCTCCACCTCCTCCCTGCGTTGCACCCACCCAGTGCAGCGTTTCGTGGCCCCGTAGGGAGCCCCACCGAAGGTCCCAGTGCTACCGTCCGCATGCGTCCTCCCCACCCAGTACAGCGTTTCGTGGCCGCCTCCTCTCTCCTCACTGCGTTCCACCCACCCAGTACAACGCTTCGTGGCCCCATAGGGAGCCCCACCGCAGGTCCCAGCGCTACCTTCTGCATGCGTCCCCCCACCCAGTAAAGCGTTTCGTGGCCCCCTCCTCTCTTCTCTCCGCGTGTCACCCACCCAGTGGAGCGTTTCGTGGCCTCATAGGGAGCCCCACCGAAGCTCCCAGCGCTACCGTCCGCATGCGCCCCCCCCACTCAGTACAGCGTTTCGTGGCCCCGTCTTCATTTTTCCTTGCGTTGCACCCACCCAGTGCAGCGTTTCGTGGCCCCGTAAGGAGCGCCACCGAAGGTCCCAGCGCTACCGTCCGCATGCGTCCCCCCCCCCACCCAGCACAGCGTTTCGTGGGCCCCTCCTGCCTCCTCCCTGCGTCTCACCCACCCAGTACAACGTTTCGTGGATCCATGCGGAGCCCCACCGAAAGTCCCAGTGCTACCGTCCGCATGCATTCCCCCCCAACCCAGTTCAGCGTTTCGTGGCCCTCTCCTCCCTCCTCCCTGCGTTTCACCGATGCAGTACGGCGCTTCGTTGGCCCATAGGGAGCCCCACCGAAGATCCCGGCGCTACCGTCCGCACGCGTTCCCCCCAGCCAGTACAGCGTTTCGTAAGTCCATAGGGAGCCCCACCGACGGCCCCAGTGGGACCGTCCGCATGCGTCCTGGATACAAAATTTGGCGTTTTCGCCCACCCAGTGCAGCGCTTCGTGGCCCCTTAAGGAGCTCCACCGACGGCCCCAGTGCCACCGTCCGCATGCGCCCCGGTAATCGAATTTGGCATTTTCACCCACCCAATACAACGCTTCGTGGCCCCATAGGGAGCTCCACTGAAGCCCCCAGTGGGACCGCCCGCATGCGCTCCACACGCCCAATTTGGGATTTTGTCACCCACCCAGTACAATGTTTCGTGGCCCCACAGGGAGCTCCACCGAAGCTGCTAGTAGCGGAACGCGCTCTGTGAGATCAGGGCATGGCGTTCTTTGATCCACCAGGCGTGTTCGCCCAGCTTCGGGCCCCAGGGCCATCACAGATCGATATGGCTCGAAAACTGCAGCAGAAAGAGGGGGATCGAGGGGGGGTGGGGAAGCACCGAGAAAGTAGCCCAGGGATGGCAAGCAGAAGGGAGGAGCAGTTGTTTAGATCCCTACATTGCCAAGGTGAAACCAAACAGAGCGAAACACATGGAGAGCAATCAAGCACCATGGACTCCTGGGGCAACTTGACACAAGTGACTTCATGCAACACATCGGTGCCTGGCAGAATACCATAGGGCATGGCGCATCTGGAAACGGTATCAAACACGTGTCTGTAGGAATGTATCCTCAAATTCCAACGTCACCACTTGCACCGAAGAGTCTGAATACTGCCCAACTGGGAATACCATGACAACATGATCGACCCACGAACCCGCGAAGGAATATAAAACTGCAAAGGCATGGCAACGGTTCAAAGACACCTGATTGGGCGACGGTCAAATGGAATGTTGAATGCATTGATCTTGATGTACCGTGCCGAGGGCTGTGATGTGCTGCGCCGTGCTGACCTGCGAGGTGCTATACCGCGATTGTGCTCTTTCGCGTTGTGGATCGAGTCCGCCTTTGCATCCGAGTCCTGACCGAACTGATCTGGATCTTAAGATCAAACTGCCTGAGCACATAGTAGCTGCCCCATGGCTAATTAACAAAGGGACATGCCAAGAGGACGCGCCGCGGAAAGTCCCAAGGGACGCGCCAGGCGACGTGCCAGGGGACGTGCCACGGGGCCGCACCGCGGGACGTGCCAAGGTGACGCGCTACGGAACATGCCAATGGACGTGCCACGGGACGTGCCAGGGGACGCGCCGCGCGACGTGCCAGAGGGATTCGCCACGGCACCACAAAACGGGCCAAAGAACGTGCCAAATTACAATGCTGAATGTATCGATCTTGATGTACCGTGCCGAGGGCTGTGCTGTGCTGCGCCGTGCTGACCTGCGACATGCCATGCCGCGATTGTGCTCTTTCGCGTTGTGGATCGAGTCCGCCTTTGCATCCGAGTCCTGACCGAACTGATCTGGATCTTAAGCTCGAGCTGCCTGAGCACATAGTAGCTGCCCCAGGGCTAATTGACGAGGGGAACATGCCAGGAAGACGCGCCGCGGAACGTCCCAAGGGGCGCGCCAAGCGACGTGCCAGGAGACGTGCCACGGGGACGCACCGCGGGACGGGCCAAAAAGACGCGGAACGGAACGTGCCAATGGACGTGCCAACCCACGATGGACATCCGCCTGGGCGAACTGGACACGTGAAAACACGTGGTTCGCTCGAGACATCCTCAACACATCTTCGTGTTAGACGTCCGTTCCGGGCCCCCAGGGAGGCCCCAAGAGGCACATGTCAGATACCCCCTAGGTGGCCTGGACACGGTAAAGCACATGACTCCGCCATGCTAACTACCCCTTGGGCGACCTGGACACGTAAAACCACGTCATTCCAATTCGGGGCAATCATAATAGATACCTCCCTGGGTGGCCTGGACACGTAAACACACGTGGGACCAGCTCTGGGCAACCATGTTAGATAAACCCCTGGGCGGCCTGGACACATTAAAACACATGGTTCTTGCTCGGGACAACCATGCTAGATACCCCCCTGGGTGGCCTGGACACGTAAAAACTCGTGGTCCATGCACAGGACAAGCATGATAGGTATCCCCCTGGGTGGCCTGGACACGTTAAAACACATGGTTCCAGCTCGGGACATCCATGTTAGATACCAACCTGCGTGACCTGGGCACTTTAAAACACGTGGTTCCAGCCTCGGGAGAACAATGTTAGATATCCCCTGATGGGTGGCCTAGACACTAAAAAAATTTGGTTCCAGCTCGGGACAACCATGTTAGATACCCCCTGCTTGGCCTGGATACGCTGAATTCGTGCTCCCGCTCGAGACATCCTCGTAATGTCTTCCGTGGGGAACCCCCCATGCCGCCACCCTGTCCAGAGCAAGACAAAAATACTTTTCTGTTTTGGGATATGCGCTCGGGTAGCGTTTTGTCAGCCCCCCCCCGTGCGTTTTCTGATAATTCGGCGTTGGGCCCGACGCCATGTTAGATACCCCCTTGGGCAGCCTGGACACGTAATTATCCGGGCGAAGGACCCAACCATATGCAGCTGTGGGAACCGCAATTGTGAATGCATTTTCGGGTGAAGCTCCCTATGGGGCCACGAAACGCTGCACTCGGTGGGGGGGAACGCATGCGGGCGGTAGCACTGGGGCCGTCGGTGGAGCTCCCTATGGGGCCACGAAGCGCTGTACTGGGTGGGTTTTTTTTTTTGCATGCTCGGGCCATACGCACGAGGCTCTGGCCAGTCACCCTCCAGGTGGGGTGGCCCGACGGTGGCCTGGGGCGCCAGGCGCAGACCCAGGCCTACCGTCGGGCGAACAGCCCCTCGCAAGCGCACTGCACTGCCAGGTGGCAGTGGGCCTTGGACGGGCCTAGTCCGACGATCCCGAGTCGTCCGAGCCGAAACCCACGGGAGGGATGGGTACCCCATCCTCCTCTGGGCGCCTGCTGACAAGCTGCTGGCGCCTCCGACCAGCCTCGGACCACTGTGGGCGAGGCTGCAGGCTCGGGTGCGACTGACTCGGGATGGGCATCGCGCGCGCAGCAGCACGTTCGCGCTGTGCCCGCTGCTGCCTTTGAATTTCTGCGGTGTTGTACCGCTCGGACTCTGACACAAAATCTGAAAACCTTGGATGCTTGCCTGCCAGGAGACGATTCCTGATGTTCGCACGGCCGCCACTCTTGGGAGGGCGACCTGGACAAATATCTGGCAAGCCTCTGAAAGCAAACTGGGCGTAGCGCCCACAGATGAGACAAAAGACGACAGGCACGGCAAAATGCGCTATTGCCATCTGGTGGCTGGCGTGAATGCCTTCGAGGCCGCGCCTGAACGCGCTGGCCAGTGGCTGACACGCTTGTCTCTCTCGTGCGACGGCTGCCTTATAAGATCGGGCGTACGTAAAACAAGCCCTGCACCTGTACGGTATCGGCCCTTGAAGAACCTCCCAGTCGTGCACGACGATGGTGGCCTGAACCTTACAGGGCAGGGCAGCTCTCTCGCTTTTGTGCCTGTTCCTCTGGCAAAGGGCGAGAACTCTGGGTGCATATAAACCTATCGCTCGAGCGGCCTCAATTTTGCGCTGCAGCTCCTGCAGCGCTGTCGGGTTGAAACTTGGGTGGCATTCCATTGCCGCCTTCGCCATCTTGTCCGCTGCTGTGTTGATCTCTGCAGCGAGCCTGGCCTCACCAGCCAGCTCATTAACATTCTGATGGCTCTTGACTTTGGAGGCCGTCTCTAGGAGGTGCCTGCTGTCCCGCGCAAGCGCTAGCTTGTGCAGGCCTGAATACTTTAGCTTGCTGCTGAGACGTGTCGGCAGTGGCCTAGCGTGCTGATCCAGGACCGCTTTGCAGTCCACCCAGGCCTTGGAGGGTTTGGTGAGGGCCTCCTGGGGGACCAGGAAGCCCATGTGCTCCCCAGCCTGAGAAGTCTGGGGAAGGTTGGCTGCC